GCGGGGCGTCCACCGTCGGGGTGTCCGGCGGCGGGCCCGGAGCCAGGCCCGGGTCTGCCCCTGTCTCGCCTCAGCCGCAGCCCCACTCGGGGCGACCGCGCACACGGCCCAGGGACCCCATTCAGGTGAGTGGCCGCGTGCCCCGATGACCCCAAAGTCCCCGGCCCCACAGGCCGAGCCGACGTGGCCGGGGTCGGGCTACGGCCGCCCTTGACTCACCACGATCTCCTGCTCGTAGGTCCAAACGCCGCACGCCAGTTCCACACAGAAGATGACCAGCAAACTTCCGAAGTACTGCGGGGAACAGAGGACGGGCTTAGCCAGAGTGGAGGGAAGGGGTCCCCGGAGACAGCGGCCGGCAGGAGCCAGAGGCACTACCCAGGAAGCGCCCTCGGCCGCGCGTGGCAAGTGGCGGCAGCTTGAGAGCCGTGTGCGGACGGACGGCACCCGCCGGTCCCCCAGACGCCGCGGGACTGGGCCGTGTGCGGACGGACGGCACCCGACGGTCCCCCTGAGGCCGCGGGATTGGGCCGTGTACAGACGGCACCCGCTGGTCCCCCCAGACGCCGCGGGACGGGCGGCCCCCCAGAGGCCCAGGGGACGGGCGGCCCCCCGGAGGCCCACGGGACGGGCGGCCCCCCAGAGGCCCCGGGACGGGCGGCCCCCCCCACGGGACGGGCGGCCCCCCAGAGGCCCCGGGACGGGCGGGCCCCCAGAGGCCCCGGGACGGGCGGCCCCCCAGAGGCCCACGGGACTGATGACTCGCCAACTCGCCCGGGGCCTCGCGAAGGGATGGGGCACCTCCTCCTACAGGCGACAAGGTGAGCACAGACCATGTGAGCCGCTCGAGACTGTGTATTGTGCATTGGGGTGGGGGGAGGGGCGCTGGACCCTGGGCCGGTCCTGAGGCGCACGTGCCTCTGCAGAAGGCAAAGTGTGAGAGGCACGGGCTCTGCACTAATTCCAGCAGAAACAAGCCCCTGCTTTCAGGGTCCTCGCTTCTCGGCGGGGGTCGCTGGGTCAGCGTGGGGGCCCTGGGAGCAAGCTCCCTGACCAACCCCTTCTGCCGGAGGGGCAGCTCCCCAAGGGCAGCCGCTGACTGTGCCCCTCCGTACCTAGCAGGTGCTCCACACGCACCTGGCCCAGAAAGCAACAGCCGAAAGCAGAGCAGAGTGATGCCACAGGGAGAGGCTGGGCGCCAGGGGTTGCCTTGGGCGGGCCACCTTCACCGAGGTCATTTTTAGGGTGAGTCAATAACACCAGGTGCAAGGCTGCCTTCCCGGGAAGCCAGGAGCGCGGGAGGGGGTGCGCTGGGCACGGGCAGCATATGTGGGCGAGGACCACAGTATGACGAGCCAGCTCTCCAGGGGTGGCAGAAAGGATTTCGGGTTTCATTCTAAGTGTGATAAAAATCCAGCAGCATGCCACACGGTCTGACAACATTATAAAAACACGATTCTGGCTGTTTTATTAAAAACAAACAAACAAAAAAACCTGTAGGCGAGCAAAGATGTGATTGGGCATCTAAATAAAGAGTTGGTCTAGGACTAGGGTGGCAGCAGGGAAATGGGGGGGGGCGGCGGGGAAATGGATTGATGGAGGCTGGTGAGCCATCAAAACGTGAACGCTGAGCTGCTCTGCTCCTGACGTTTGCCAAGAAAGGAGAGGCGGAAAAAAAAGATGTAGAAAATCGGGCTCTTTTTCCACTACTTCCAGGCTCTATCCCTATGACTTAAACGTATAAATCACCGCTATTAGTGTTAATTGGATTCCTTCATATAAAAAAATTAATGATATATATAGCTACACAATGTATCAGATAATAACACAGTTTGACAATAAAAATTGGATCAGAAGATAAAGTAGTATTTTCTTAAGGGTAGCACGTTTGACAAGCGCTTTTATTTTCAATATGTGCAGTACTCCTGGTCGGTTTCAATCTACTCAAATCTCATTGCCTTGAAGATCTTAGGCCTAAAATGATGACCAGAAGAAATATTGTGAACACAGTACTCCAGGTCAGGTTTTCTGCAAACTCTCTTTAGTGGCTTGTTGAAGAGATTTCTAGACATGAGCAATACTATACAAAGAGACCAAATAATCAATGATCATAAGCTGCATCAATGTTTTCCTACCTTTGATAAGACCCTACGAGAGAGTAAAGCTCCCAAGAAACATTACACTATGGGATATTTTTGTTTTCTCAAATCCCTAACCTAAGTTATTTCCAACACGGACGTCTGGTTACGATGAACACCAAAGCAGACCTGGAAAGGCAAGACATCCCAAAGTAAAACATAGATGTGGCCGCTGGGGCTGGTCAGAAGGTAACTTTCCGTGGCCTTGGGGATCACCAGGCAGGTGTTCTGGGTTGATTCCATATCCTTGTAAGTCCCACTTGAGTCACCTCTCTTGTTTCGTGCCTCCTGGAGTCACTGGCCAGTTGATGATGTCTGTGCTGCAGCAGCAGAAAGGCCCCAAGCACAGAGCCAAGGGCAAAGTGCCCAGATGTGAGCAGTACTTGCAACACCTGAGTAACCGCCAGGCCTATGGATCCAAGAGGTGCAGTAGCCAATGCGTGAGAGCCCCTCCGACTTCTTACAGCCAGATTTGCAACGGGTCAGCGGCACCAGAGCTTAGGCATCCCCAGGAATGCATAAAATACATGGAACTAAAACAATCTCTCATTAAAAACTCAAAACTGAGGGGCGCCTGAGTGGCACAGTCAGGTGAGCACCGACTCTTGACTTCAGCTCAGCGTCGTGAGATCATGTCGTGCGCGTAAGACTCCGTGCTCAGGGGAGTCTGCTGGAGATTCTCTCTCTCCATCCCTCCTCCCCCCCTCTCTCTCTCCAATAAATCAATCTAAAATAAAGAAAACTCCAAAAAACCAAAAACTCAAAACTGAGATAATCCATTTTGGGAAGGAGGGTGTCCATATATGTTGGACACTCTTTTTAACTCCGGGGAAAGGCTAAAATGTTTTTTTATCTGCAGACATCCAGTGATGTCGTTTGAGGCATGTCCTCCCATATAAAACGGTTCTTCTGTCTTTAACCTACTTATACTCAAGAGCACAGATTTTATTTGACCTTTGAATTGAAAATAAAGTTTCATCGACATTCTAAAACTTTCTTGGATCAAAGTAAGTCTGAAATTTATATTCTTGCAAACAATGCAGCAGCTTCGTGGTCAGCTGCCTTGGCTTTGTTCCCATGGTGTGGGCTTCATGCGTCCAGTCTTCCAATTCCAGGGAGGACACAAAATGCCAAAATGCATTGTTAACACAACACACGGAGATCATTTACCCCTACTTTTTCTTTTCCGGCGAGCTCCAAGTCCTCAGTGGTCATCCTCGTATTGACTATTGTCCAGGGAATCACTCTACCACTATTTCGCTTAAGGGCTGGACCTGCGTGAAGGCATCTGCCAATGAGTAGTTTCAACAGGACAAAGCTGGCAAAGAATAAGAAACAGGTGCCACCAACATCTGCTATGACAAAGTGCACGCACGCGTCCCGCCGCAGCAGGAAGCCATGGGGGGGGGCTGGGAGCACAGGAACAGGTGTGCAAATGGCCCTGCCGCGCAGCCCGCACGCCCCCGCTGGGGAGAGGTGTGTGCCCACCCGGCATGCACGCATCCAGCCCGCCTTCTCGGTGCCAGTCCTCCCTGACGGAGGAAGAGCTCAGACTCTGAGGACTGAAGTCAGACCCCCTCGTGAAGGCAATCTGTGACCTCTGGCAAATCGCTCCCCGTCCGTCTGCTCCTCTGAACGGGAGACACAAAGAGCCTTCTTCGCTGTCACCATCAAGGTTCAGGTGATACGTGGGGAAGCGGTCTGAATGCTCTTTGAATTTCAAATCCGTACACACACACACACACACACACACACACAAAAGCTGTCCCGAACCATCGGTGACAGTGTCTCCCGCCGGCCGGCGGTCTCCCCGGGCAGGGCACATGAGCTGCACAGGGGTGCAGTTGCATCCTTATCACAGTCCTGTGGCCCTTCCTCCCTCCTTCCCCCCTCCTTCCCTCCTTCTTTCCCCCTCCTTCTCCCTCCTTCCTCCCGCCCTCTTCCATCCTTCCCCCTCATTCCCCCCTCCTTCCTCCTCCTTCCTCCCTCCTTCCCTCCTTCTTTCCCCCTCCTTCCCCCTTTCCTCTTTCCCCCTCCTTTCCCCCTCCCCTCTCCTTCCCCCCTCATTCACCCTCCTTCTTCCTCCTTCCTCCTGCCTTCCCCCTTCTTCCCCTTCTCCCTCATTCTCCCTTCCTTCCTCCATCTTTCCCCCTCCCCTCTCCTTCCCCTCTTCTCCCTCCTTCCTCCCGCCTCCCCCTTCCTTCCCCCCTCCTTCCTCCATCCTTCCCCCTCCTTCCCCCTCCTTCCCTTCTTTCCTCCTTCCTCCCTCCTTCCCCCTTCTTTCTCCTCCTTCCTCCCGCCTTCCCCCCCTTTCCTCCATCCTTCTCCCATCCTTCTCCCCTCCTTCTCCCCTCCTTCCTCACTCCTTCCTTCTGCAGGCAGCCGGGTGCCCCTGCCTGCTGTGCACCAGGCCTCCGAGGCTCTGGCCTTGCACCCCGCTGGCTGCCTCACACACTGCCAGACCGCCGGTTCTGGCTGCCTGGGATCCTGTCCATAAACATTATTTTATCCCCAGGAAGTACCATCCCTAGGCGGGACAGGTCGCACAGCAAGCCAGCAATAAATGTCTGGTGGATAGAACGACCAGTTTACCAACTAAAAAGACCCATTTCAGATTTCCTTGAGATTCTCAAATTTGAGCTGACTTTCTAACACTTGACTCCCTCTGACTTCTGCTTACATATTTAAAGAAATTTAAACACTGTGTTTTCTATTGTCTTCCTTGTGGATCATTCTATGATAATTCAGTGTGTCTTTAAACACTTGGGACAACCTAACCAAGCTAAAGAAAAGAAGCAATGCACAGACTCCCCCCACCCTGCCTTTCCCTGGCTACTAACGACTAAACATTTCAAACAAATGAAGAATGAGAAACTGTGTGTTTATACAAGGAAATGAGAATGTGATCATTTGCATGATGAACTATTTTATTTGCTTTAAAAATTGTTCAATACTCAGTTCCTTAAAATAGCTAAGTTCCTCTACTGTAATTAAACTAAAATTTGCGTCCTACAAATCCATGTTATCTTTAAGCACACAGTCATGAAAAAAAACTGCGTCAAATAAAGCAAGGAGACAATAGGACACACCTCCCAAGCGATGCAATTAATTAGTGATTTTTTTTTCCACCAAATCTCTCAAGCTGAGAGTAATTAC